AGTTTTATGTAACAAAAATAGACATTCTCAAAAATTATTTTATGATCTTGTGTAAATTTTAATTAAGGGATAAATTTTAATGTTGTGGAGGGATATGGTTCGTAGACTAGTGGAATATATCCACACACAAAGACACCCACATTAGTGGAGCTGCATGATTTTCTGCCACAAATACAGTCATTACTGGTATAACAGAACGAAAACAACCTTCTTAACCATGATCTTCGGGTATCTGGAATTGTATTTATCCATAATTATTTTACTACATTTAGGTCGTTATAAATTTAAAAGTTAAACTAACCGGCTGTCATAATTGATGGACAGTTTAACTCCACATTATGACGCGTATGTTCAGTTAGGGAAAACATATTTTTTCCGGTTCTGAAACGTAATATGTATGTTGAACATATTGTGCTAAATATATATTTACGAAATAGGGCAAACCAATATAACTCTATCACCGGTTAATGAACAACTGTGAAACTATGTCAACTAATATAATTACTAGTTTCATTCAAAATTAAATTAATAAAAATAAACGGTATCAGCATTCTGACAAATACTTTCTCCCATTAGTTTGTCAACAACCTTTATCATGTGTAAGCGGTGAGAGTAAATATACGGAAATGGGATTTATACAATTTTGTTCACAATTTAAAGGACTACATACTAAATTTTTATCAAAATCTTTCGGGCCATTTTTGTGAAAATCGGATTTTTCCGTGATTTTATGGGGTTTTATGGGAAAATAACATAATTTACAATAACTTTTGAACCATAATTTTTACGGAAATGGGATTTGTACCATTTTGTTCAGAATATAAAGGACTATAACATACATAATTTTTATCAAAATCGTTCGGGCCGTTTTTGGGAAAATCCTATTTTTCCGCTTTTTTATGGGGTTTCATGGGAAAATTCCCATTAAAAATCAAAATTTCAAAAAAATGAAAAAAACACCTGGAGATACCATGGATTAGAACCTACATACCAAATTTCATCGAAATCGGACCACAGGTGTAGTCCCTAGCTCTGTACACATCCAGACACACAGACACACAGACACACAGACACACAGACACACAGACACACACACACACACAGACACACACACACACACACACAGACATCACTTTGAAAACCACCTTTTTGGGTCCAGGGGGACCCAAAACGGATATATCCACTCAAAACTCAAACTCGAAAATTTTGACGAAAACAATACTTTCTCCATATACTATGGTATAGGGGGAGAAAGTAAAAACTAGAATATGAACTTATTTCCAGCATTTACGTTAAACTAATAAGGGTTTTGCTCAGTAAAATATTTTACACATTACAATTAGCTTATAATTGATTTGAATTGGTATTTGACCTTGAATCGGTAGTTTGGCGAACAACTGACACAAGTGCATAATTAAAACATATATCAAAGTTTAGGCAAAGCAAAAAAAGCTTTTAGAAATATGAGTATACTGTATTTTTAATGTCAGCTAGTTTCATGCATTTCTACACATTAAAAAGAACCGTGTATAATTTACCGAAACTGACATTAGGAGAGAAAAGCAAGCTATAAACTGCAAAAAGAAAGCATTTTTGAAAGTGTAAGAGCCCGTGAGTCGCCAAGTGGTGGCGCCCCTTTGGGGCAATTTTCATATCAGGAACCACATTGGCGTGACGTCACATTGGGGTGAAGTAAGAGAGAGACATTTAATTAAGGTAAGGTTGAAAAAGCTGTATGAGAGTTAAGAGAAGGGGTTTTGATAACCGAAAGAAAATTTCTTTACCTTACGTTACACACTTTATATAAAGTGGGACACGTGCACAACACACCTTTCAAACGAACAATTGCATGAAGATTTTCACTCATAAAAATGGTTTATTTATTTCATAATTTATTAAGGTGTTATTTAGGTTCAGTCATTTAACAATCGTAGCATTTTTACAAAGCCTTGGCTTCCTAGTTACTTATGTGTGTATCTCTGATCGATAATCTGTTTTACTGTTTATTCCGTATATAATCGTTGATTTTATATCACATGGTGGCTGATGTCCGTTTTGTGTGGAAAAGGTTTAAGTTTCTTGTTGATTTTTTTTCTTGATTTACACTATTTAAAACTAAACTAGGCGTAAGAATTTTAAAATGTACCTAAAATTGTATATGGTATAGGCTCTTGATTATTGAAACTTTTTTGAGAGATTTTGGCTCTTTATGTTTAATGTTAGAACGAAATTACTTACAGCAAAATGCTGTTTGAGTATCACTAAGTGCCGATCCAAATTTTTTAGCCAATGTGTATTTCTCTTATTACACATTCGAAAGTAACAATTTGTGTTAAAAGTATAATGAAACTGAACATGCGCCTTAACATCTCCAAGACATGGGGTAAACGTGTGTTTGTGTGGGCGTGTGACGGTATTACACGTCTCATATGAACATTATCTGGCTAATACAGTCGTGTCATCGCCTCCCTAACATCAACTACAGCCCTAATCCGCCTACTGTTAATGTCACGTTTTCTTCTTGGAATTTAAGCTAAGGAACCATTAAATGTAACATGAATACTTAAGTAATACAAATGGAATGTATGAACTACGAATTTTATAGGTGAACTAGCTGTATTTAGTCCCCAAAACCAATCTCTCATATTAATCAACCCACGTCAGTCACTATATGGATTGTAGTCGTAGAGTGATATCATTGACTAGTCAAAGGTGATATTAAATAGTCAATCCACATATGAACTATTCAGTCCAGAATTATGTAAAAAGTGTATGAAAAACCTTGAATATTTATTTTAATGGTAAAAAAGTTAGTAAATTACAATTTAAAACTTAAACACGGCAGTCTCTGTCGTAGGTGTATACTGTATAGTGTATATTAACCAGCAACGGGTAGTCTACCACAGCCCTACAATAACATCTCATGAGCCCTCTGTTGAATCAAATGATCAGGAGGTTATTGTCATTTGACCTTCCTACTGTTGGCTCTGGTCAAGTTGGAAGTTGGAACCAACTGTTCAAACTAGGCTCGGCTCTGTTATGAAAATATGGAGGCTGCTGTGTTTGGAAAGTTTGAGGTAGAATTAGTTAACTAAACTAGATCGCAGATATAAGACACAATACACGATGCAGGTAATGTTTGTGAGGGTCATTATATTTTGTATATATTAACAAAGTTAAGATAATTCAACGCTATTAATTTTCAAAACTCTACACAAAACATCTTTGTGTTCAAAATATTAAATTACTTCTAATAATCCGATTTTTAAAATTTCACTTCTTGATAGGTAAGCTAAAAACTGAGAAATTGGGTATAAGTGCGAAACATACTTAAACCATATATGATAAATAAATGCATCTTAAGTATTCGATAAGAGCTGGTGACCAACTTTTTAATTACGATTAGCATTATCGAGGCAAAAAGCGACGCATCTGACGAAAAGTCCCGCTCTAAAATTCTTACCTTAGCAAAATACTTAACAAACATTTCAATTTAAGAACTCCATGCACGTGTAACAATGTTGCTAGAATCATTAGGTAATCCATGAGCTATCAGACGAAGCTTATGTCACACTTTTAGGATTATCCTTCCCGCTGCATTTTTCCCGCCTCGGAGGTGAGTTTGGCGGGTATTTGCTCGGCGGGGGATGCCGGGTAATTAAAAGTCAGAAGAGGTTTATTCCCCACTCAGGGCGGAAGATCGCCCCATTGTTTTCTCATATTGCCCCAAGCCCAATAATGCTACCTATATTAAACCTATAAGGATCTTTCGAGGGTCTCAAGTCCACATTCGTTTTTTCGTCGTTTTTCCCTCATTTCGGCATATTGTGGGGTTCTGACAAAAGAGTGTTTGCTTCTATATTTTGTGGTTTACTGTTTAGATTTTCGCGAAATGTAAACTTCATTATCACTAAAACATTCTCAGCATCTTGACACTCATGCTCTCTATGTGTTTAACGAATACATTTTCAAACACTGCTTGGTATTGGTATTCTTACAAAAGGCGATTTCTGATACATAAAAATGCGTATGTATGTACAACGTAAAGCTATTTATTCATAAACAAACAATTGGTTTGAATCTATTCTCTTAACACTCTTTGTTAATGAAACATTTGTTTACAAATAATTGTAAATTAATATCCCAATTCGTATACCTAGACCAATGGGAAATCACCATTTTACTAGTTCTAATTCTAAGTTCGTTATATTTTCATAGAACTCTTACTGATTCATTGACTTGTTTCAAAATTGTGTTTTTTTATTGGGTTTTTTTACAAAAACTATTTTAATATCAGTCTTATAAACTTTCTAGCGTACCAAGTTTCATTGCAAGGTCCTGAGCATGTTATATGAACACATAAATTAGGCTAAGCTTTAATATAAACCAAACCCTTACAGGATCAGATTTAACTGGTGGTAATGGAAGGGTTATCCCTAGATGAGACCGGTCCCAATATTAGGCGAGATGACCGAGAAGTATGCATATCGTATCAGCAATTTGATCAATATCCCGACCTCTCCCCCTCACCCCTCGGCTCGAACCCCGGAGTCTTAATTAGCAGCGAAATCCGTGGACACACTCCTTCCTTACACGCAGTCCTGAAAACATATGTCTTAAGATAATGTTTTCAAATAGTTTAGCAAATTTTTAGATTGTAAGAGGTGTAAGAATGGAAAATGTACGTAAACATTTGGCAAACCAAAAACAACTTTATAAGGAAATTTTTGTTTAGAAATAGATTGTAGAATACGTTAGTATAAAAAATCCAATATGGGAAATATAACTCTGAAAACATTTGCCTCTGACAATTTTGAATCAGAAAATACTCCCAGAGATTTAATAGTATAAGTAAGATCAAAAACATGCGGATGAAGAAAAATCTGGTCCATTAAGTAAAACTGCTGTACTGTGTTTATATTACTTATGACGAAATGAAGACATGCTAGCTAAAAAAATTGTGGCTTTTCTTTAAAGACTAATTTAATTTTTGTTTACAGATTTGTCGGTTCGGAGGCCGATTGCTCGTCAAGCTATGAGCAAGGTGAGTTCTATGGTTACTCTTTTTTGGGCGGCTCTAAACATACGTTTTACTGTATACATTGCCGTGTAACAGTAAATTTATTAAGCCAATATAGCTGGAAATTCTTTTCCAAAATTGGATCAAACCTTATAAATAAAAATACATTTTTAATCCTATTTGTTGTTAAAAATATTACCTGGTACAGGTTCTGGTTGCACAGCATTTGTTTTAATATTAGAAACAATGTTCCTCCTTAAGTGTTGATTCAAATTTACTTTTCGTTTTTAAACCATGCGTGATTTGTGTGCAGTCTGGAAGTATTTAAGAATTGTCATATAATAGTGTCCCTGTATATCTTAGTGCCAGCCCTCATACATGATAGACAAGTAAACATATTTGACTAAATAGATTTTCGTCTTCGTACAGTCCAATAGGCAAAACCCCCTATACTTGATGATAAAACAAATATTTTTATACCGTATAATTAAAAGTTATTTTTAATAGTAACACTTTTATGAATATCACTAAATATTGTTAAAATACGGCACCATAGAATTACGTTCGCCGTCTGCCCTAAAAAACCATTAAGCTTAACAATTAATCAATTTTAAGATTATACTTTGATATAAAAAGATAATCTTTAACTATTGTAAGTTATGGGTTTGACACCCATACTCACCACACTCTGCTACACTCGCCCCATAACTAATTACTGTACTGCCTACAAGTTATCGTCGTCACATTTCCCCGCACTGCAACATTCTGCTCCCCCCTCCACGAAGGTTCCTTAATTTAATTAGTCTTCATTGGGATAAATATTTGGGCCGAATTGTTTATATTCTGTCGGGCCAGCGGGCCCTTCCTTCCGCCCTGCAGTTAATTACGAAATTTGATTTTCTTAATGAATAAACTCGAAAATTTTCATGCGTTAAGTGTTACAAAATCTATATTCTACATCAATTATTTACTATCTAATATTACATCTTATTTAATGTAAGTGGATGCTAATTTGGTGGGAAAATATACGAAGTGCTGGGTTGTTTTAAACTTTGCAGTTACCAACTTGCTATTGAGAAACAAAACTCTTAGATAATGTGTATGCATCATGTTATGGAAAATAAAAGAATACTGAAAGACGCTTGAAGCAATATCTTCAAAGACTGCGGGATTCCAATGAGGAGATTTAACTGTAGCTGAAGAGGAAAGATATGTGGGAAAAAACGGGAGTAGTTTCATGAGGTCGTAGTAAGCTTGTCTAATCTTTTGAAGTAGATGGAGAATAATCCTAATTTATACACAATAAACTCAAATAAAATGTTTAAGGTTACTATTAGCCTTTTTTTTAAATTGTAATAGAGGCTACTTTATTTTATAAATATACGCACTTTGTGTATTAATTTCACTATAACCAGTAATATTTTTGCTGTAATAATGTAATAACCCTTTTATTATTAGGAGTATAAGTCATTGATAAGCTTTAAAGGGCCCCGACCATTGTATTTTGTACTATGTAACTGAAGGTGGTGTAAATGAGTCAATAGTCAATGTATATATGCAAATTATAAGCCGACATCAATTAATTGTTTTACTAACATTTCGTTAGGAAAAGCACACACAATTTCTATGTCCACACAGATTAAGTAAAACAGCTTCTTATCCTTGTTCTTAAGACACAAAATGAACTGATAGAGGTATGAATCCTAACACAACCTTTATAGGGCAAAATTCAATAGTGGGAGCCCTCTTCTTGAAAAAAAAATACTTTTATGGTATACCGCGTTATGTCTGTTTGGGATTGTCCTATATTCAAAAAAGGATGTTGCAATTTAATTGAATAACATTGACTTTATACAGACATTATACAAGGCACCTGCTATACACAGTGGCTACAAGATTAAACTAGTTAAAAGTGCGCAGTCAAAGGATGACGGGAATAGTCAGTGGCAGAGTTGACTCAAGGTGTTAAGTCCTCCTCAAACACTTGCGGACATGTCCTCTAGGATGTCAATATTGGTGCGGGCAACTTCTCGTTTACGAAGGTCCTCGGATTACAAGGGTTGACCTATTAGGACTGTTTGTCCGCCGCCTGTGTTTGCGGAAGGATCGAGATGAAACGGCAATAAATTGCGGGATGGAAACCACAAACTTAAAACCTTTGTTAACCCTGTTGCCTTTGTTTCGTGAAACATATCAATTGTTTTATATTGCGAAAGCAAATGAATTTCTTGATGGTAACCTCCAAATCACTTAATTAATATAATAAATTATGTTTGAATGCCCTTTACTGCTGTGCGAGTGTAGAACTGTTGTATATTGCTAAATCTTTGACGTTTTCTAAATGCAACTAAACGTGAAACAATGGTGAAACGCTGTGGCATGAAGACTACTGAGAGTCGAACCCGTTAGTAGCCCACGGTTAGAACTACACGATTTTCACTACAGTAAAATGTGTTAAGCCACTTTTACTATACAATTAAATGACTTTCTTGTATATAGCAAAACTACACGTCAAGTGACCGGTATCATTCAACAAGCTGATTTTATGTGTAATTTGTTAATATTGTTATTTTAAGTTTGTTATATGTTTTATTTTAAGTATGTTTCGCTCCCCTGTATCTTAGATTCCAAGGATTTTCTTGGTTTCAGAGATCTTCACTGCAGACGAAAAAAGTTTCTTCTATATAAACTTGTCAACTACGTGGAGTTTATATACGTGGAGGTTATTATAAGCGAAGTGAGAGTCCCATAAGATATTATCTGGTAGAATTATACCTACTCTATAGAAAAAACTTATCATTTGTGGACAATGAGAACAATTTTGATTATCAGTGCAAACTATAAACGACACAAAAAGTGATTTCGGTATTTTCTTGTAACACATATCACTGGATTCCCTATACAACCTGGATGACCGTAGTCCGAAGGGGAGTGACCACGGCCACTACAGGGGGAGTTAGTTGCCTGTACGTTCACATTAGTACTAACCAAGGGCCCGCATGAGACGCGGGATACATTTATAATGTTGACGACGATGGAAGGTAATGAAGTGAGGCTGCTGATGTAGACATACACTGCTGAGGAGAGGGTCGTGGCTTTACTACCCTCAGGGAAATATCAAGGGGTTAATACTGATTTATAACCATTTTTATGCATTGGAGATTAAATTTGGGAGGTTGACTTATAGTTTAATTAGAATCAGTTGAGTTTAGTGTAGACAACATGTCTATGATTTGGTTGTGGTTTAAAATATTACCAGTTTTATACCCGCTGTTTTATGGTTACGTGTGCATGTAAAGTAGGTACCCATTCATATTTAACTGTTGTTTAACTCTTTTTAGTTTTGCATTTTTAACTCGCACGCATGAGTTTTATTTGATTCTCATTTTTTAAAGTATTTTTAAATGTTCAACGTGTTTTATATACATTTTTTCTAGTTATTAATTTAAATTTGAACATATGTTTACCAAATATGTGTTTTCAAAGAGATATGCTTGTATATATAGTGTGAATTAGAGTATGGTAATATTCGCCCAACCTCTTTAAATATCTTCATATTTTTTACAAATTCCGTTCTTCAACATTTAGTTTAAAATTAGCCAACATTTGTCCTCATTTTAATTGATAGTGGCGTATATAACATGAGCATATTTTCAGTAATAAACTGACTTTTTAAGTAGTGTAAAACACTTCAAAACACTAACGTAATTTGCAATCGTTATCATCACCTAGTAAAATTAGTATGATAACGGTGGTAAAAAACTTTGTAAGTAAAAAATAAAGATTGCCACAAAATTAATTGAGTACAACCGTAGCTTTTTACCTCATAAAAGATAGCCAATATAGATACTGGACTAGACAACAAACACAGCCAAAAATCCGAAGATATTGAGGTCTAACCACACCCCTGTTTGCTTAAGAGTAATACACTTGTCCACAAACAACCAGATACCCACCCTCCACCTGAAGTCTCGGGTAGGCTCGTGTAGAAGGAGGTGCACGTTTAGCTGGAGATTACCACTGTATACAACCCCCACGACGCTCGTCTATCGTTACCTCTACCCCCAACGTTCTACACTCCGACAACTTTACCCATCAAGATCCAATACGTTTTGATTTCGTTACGGAAAGTAAACCTAAATTTGAAGGGTTATTTTAGTGAGACAGAAGAAATTAAACTCGTAATTATTGGCACAAATGCCTACAAACTGTTGTTTTACTTATCATCGTAGGGCTTATGCATAATCTAGAAAGTTTTATCGAGAGAGGTTGGGAGTTTTAATTCATAATTCGTCTATGTAACAATTTCATACAGTAACATTTCTGTAATATTATTGTCGTTTATGATAATAATTTCCATCATCTTTTCATCACTACAGTTACAGTACCGTTCTAAGTTCATTCGATTGACTTAATATGGGTGATATTACAGATTACAAAAGATAATCCCGTAACTCATTTATCAGTATCTTGGTATTTTATATTACACGTATTATTCAAGCTATCGCAGTGTTATTCGGTACTGAACGAATATGAAAGAGAACAGTTAATGTATTTTATCAAAAGGGAGGATTTTTTGTTAATCTATTGATGGTATGTTTGTCATACTACAGGTATTTTAAGATTTATTTTCACCAAATGTAATCTAGAGGATAAAACGTGTATTCATAATATGTTTTCGATATTGTCCAATGAATATCTTAAACAATTTGTAAAACTTAATTACTTTGACTTACATACAGAAGTATTATTTCCATGGATGATATTTAACCATATTCGCACAAGTTTTATGTTTTACTTTTTTTACGTGTGATGACGTTTATTTTTAATTTTTCATAGTTATAGCATAATGTTATCCAACTTCCATTCATTAACTAAAATGCAGGACTTATTAAAGGTTTAGCACAACAGTTATACATGTTGAGTTTACTTGAACTGATATCCATTTTACTATACCCAACATATATCAAACTGTTGTACGTTAGTATCATTTTACCTCCTAGAGCCCTTAAATATTTCACTCG